TGGATTTTATCTTGAGTAGAATTTACGAGGGAAGCAAAACTGTTAACACGTTAATTTTTCAAGTGTGTGTGTTCTGCATAAATTATACTTTAGGGTGTTTAAACCTGCAACATGTCAGGCAAATTAGGAGAAAAAAATGCTTGAGAACCACTGCATTTCAATGATTGACGGTGAAAGCTGTGGAGCGAAATTAGGGTCTTAGTTGCATGGTATTTGAAACCTATCTCAAAACCCTTTTCCGAAAATCGTATCAGACATTCATTTCCACAGAATTACTTACATACATCCTGGACTCGAAACCGAAATAATAAATCATGACACGCAATACAAAGACCCAATGGCAGTGCTACCACAAGCCTTTTGTAGCAACCCGAAACTCCAAACTCTTTGATACATATTTGGTGTTGTATCATCGTCGCTGCAAAACATAATTATCATCGAGGTTTGCACTGAAATACAAAGTTTTGAAAGAAATGATGTTATTTTTCTTGATTTCACAAAAGAGAAGTCAACAGAAAACCATTGAAGTCCCTAGTATGCAGGCCGTACCTGCATACTAGGGTTACACGCAAAATATTGTAGAAGCTTCAAATAGAATGGGAAAAAGTACTTAACTACTCGGCAAGTATGATGGTTTATGCATACTCCTTTTCGCTTCGCAAGGCTGTGAAAACGTTCAAATTTATTTTTCAGATTCAGTCATTTTTATTACATTGTTCTTCATATGAAAAGTAGAAATTGCATGAGGTTATGCATCTTATCGTTTCTACCATAAGAGAAATTTACAATCTATTCTGATATTTTCAAGCCTGTAAGGTTTTATCACAGAGGCACAGGGGATTTTAAAATTCATCCCACCGAAGTCAATACCACGTCCTATGATTGAGACTCGTTAAAAATTCTTATCATGTCATTCCAGCGACCATCATGATGGCCAGATTTTACCCATATCGAATGAACATTTATTTGATGTACTTCTAAAAAGACATAGGAACATTTTATTCACTCCTAGAATATAATTTTGTATCAAGAAACCTACGATGCGATTCGTAATTAATGAAAATATAAATTCCTATCTGAGCCTGCCTGAAATATGTCTAAATATGGCGCTCTGATTGCCTGGCCGGAGTATCAGACTTCAAAGGAAAGGGCAAACATGATACAAAATGAAAAGACGTTTCACCAAGTTCCAATAATATGCGGGTAAAAGACAAACATGTATCAAAGTGTATCAAACAGTTAAGGGGTTTCGGGGATGCTACCTAAAAGGCCCCAACCCTTACCGTGCCGAGTTGCAGCCACTGGCCGACGGCGTCCACCTCCCTCTGCAGAATGGGGGCGTCAGAGTCCCGGATAATGTAGTTGTCCACGAGAGGGTCGCCCATGACGGAGAACCTCCAGGTGGTTCCCGTCCCGGTGTGGATGTCGCCCAGGTCTTGTGGGGGAGCATAGCGTTAGGCTTTTCATGTTACAGGATGAATACCGTTAGATCTTACATGTTAAAGGAAATGTACCGTTAGATCTTACGAGTTAAGGGAAAATATCGTTGGATCTTACGTGTTAGAGATATAATATCGTTATATATGTGTTAAAGGAAAATGTCGGTAGATATTACTTGTTAAAGGAAAAGTGTTGGATCTTACGTGTTAAGGAAGAATATAGTTAGATCTTACGTGTTATTGATATAATATCGTTAGGTCTTATGTGTTCAAGGAAAAAATCGTTAGATATTACGTGTTAAAGATATAATATCGAAGTATCTTATGTATTAAAGGAAAAATGTCGTTAGATCTTACATGTTAAAGATATTATATAATTAAATCTTATGTGTTAAAGGAAAAAAAAATTATATTACGTGTTAAAGGTATGATATCGTAGTATCTTATGTATTGAAAAATGTCGTTATATTTTACTTGTTAAAGGAAAAATATCGTTAGATCTTATGTGTTAAAAATATAATATCGTCAGATTTATGTGTTAAAGGAAAAAAATCATTAGATCTTACGTGTTAAAGATATAATATCGTAGCATCTTATGTGTTAAAGGAAAAAAATCGTAAAGACTGGGCAATCGGGTCGAAAAAGGTGCACGGAATGAATAAAAAAAAATCATTTTCTTTTTATAATTCGGTACGTCGAAAATCATCGTATTACCATTCATTTTCCAAATCACACGTTTTTATTTCTCGGTTAATTAAATTGTGCAGATGTATCGGCCTTATTCACATTGAAAATAACTGAATTGAGTTGAATTAATATTCTAAACACACATATCTGATCTGTGGATAGCTTAGTAATTGTGACACGTTAACAAGTTTGAATATTTGTATTTAGAAAAAGAAAAACTAAACATAAGAATGTGTGTTGAATATCTATCTATCTATATATGTAAATGTATATGTATGTATGTGTATGCATATATATCTAAATCCATTTCTATCTATCCATCCATCTATCTATCTAATCTACATATTTATCTACATATGTATATATGCGTATATATATATATATATATATATATATATATATATATATATATATATATATATATATATATATATATTTATATTCTCACATCGATAAACACACACGCATGAACTTTCGTTTCCTTATTTTCTACTGCACATGATAACTGAAAAAAAAAAAATCAGCGACCCTTACCCCCAAAAAAAAAAAAAACAAAAACAACAACACATAAATCAAGGCAACGCAACACCTGGGAATAAAACGCACCTGCAGAACGCCAGCCTCGCCATACCTAAACTCACCAGGTAAGCGCGTGACATCACAGAAATCAACGTGAGGGTGTGAACAGGTGATGTTACAAAGCCACTCCTTCTGTTGCTCGTTGCTGTAACTTAGATCGTGGTACACTCTCATCACCCACCCAGGGTACACTTCCGCCACCCGGGGTACCAGGAACCGGCGTAAGGCAACGTGGTACTCTGTTGGGTACTGCCCATATACTGTGAAACTTGCGACCTGAAAAGAAAGCGTATATTTATTGACTTTATCACTAATTCTATGGTATGCCATGGCTAAGACTTTAATGGTAAATGGTAAAGATGACAATTATATTAATATAAACAGTGTAGGTAATTCATTGTAGTAAAAATTAAAATAATAATGATAGTTGTGATGATGAAAATGATACTACTACTGCTATTATTGTTACTGCTTATGGCAGTAATGATAATAGCAGTAGTAATAGTAATGATAATAAGAATGATGATAAGTAACAACAATAACCTTAATAATGATAACAAAGATAATGGTAATGACAGCAGTGACTCATCACCGCTGGTCACCCATTTCCCAGCTGTCCCTCTCCGGACGCACCTTCTGCCCGCCGCCCCTCAGCGTCGCCGCCTCGCTGCACGTCGACTGCCCCAGCGACTCCTTGATCCTCTTCAGCGCCTCATCCGACGTCTCCGGACAGGCCCCGGGGACCTCGAGGGTGAGGGTCCGAGAACAGGAACAAGGAGCCAAATCCACCTCCAAGGAACAGGCCTTCGACGTCTGACTCTTGGCGGGGCGTGGCGAACCGACGGCGGAAGAGGAGGGAGAGGAGGAAGGGGAGATCCCACGGTCGGTCGCCGTTTCCTCGAAGACGCTTTTCGAACCCGTCGTTTCAGCTTGCAAGGCGGGCGGGGGGTCGCGGCTCTGGACGAGGGCGACGAAGGAGGGGTCGGAAGCGACCTGGAGCGGCGTCCAGACCTCGCGAGAAGGGAAATAAACAGCATACAACACGACCCCGAGGATGAGGACTCCGGCCAGGGGGTAATTGCGGTTGCCGAGGCACTTCATCTGGAAAATGCAACAAAAACGACGGTGATAATAACATTGTTTAAGAGAAATGAGAAATCTTAACAATCAAGAGAGAGAGAGAGAGAGAGAGAGAGAGAGAGAGAGAGAGAGAGAGAGAGAGAGAGAGAGAGAGAGAGAGAGAGAGAGAGAGAGAGAGAGAGAACAGGTAAAACTACAGCAGAAAAAAACAATGATGAAAATAATGAAGAGGAAAATAATAGCAGTAACAATGATGTCAATAATAGTAACAGTGGAACTACTACTGCAATTAATGGTAATGATCAAAATGCACACACGCACATACATACATACATACATACATACACACACACACACACACACACACACACACACACACACACACACACACACACACACTATATGGTGTGTGTGTGTGTGTGTGTACAGCCAACAACAATCGCGATGTCGCCTCGCCAGACTTGGCTCGGAGAGATCGTGCCCTTCTTGCCCTGAAAGGAGGCCTACGTTCAAACAACTAGGACACAGTCATGGAGTTTCGAATGCGAGGAGGAGGGAAATTACGGATATCAGGCGAAGTGCAATAATGACTGAAATATATAGGAAGAGAGAGAGAGAGAAGGATCGCTTTTATTCCTGTTTAGTTTTTAATTTGATGGATAGATTGGAAACCTTCCTTAAGAAATGTCGTATATCGTTTCGAAAATAATCATGAAATCTTATCACATCTTATTCCTTATCTCATTTTCTATATAAAAAATCCTTAAATTCTGTTGGAACTGACAATTCATATCAATATTCGTCAGACGGAAATAGCCATATATTAATATATGGCTCTGCATTATCCTAAACAGCTACTCTCTCTCTCTCTCTCTCTCTCTCTCTCTCCTCCGTCTTATATCACCTGGATCCGCTATTCAGATATTGGTAAACTTTTGATATGTTATTTGGAAAACAGAATAATAATCATGATATTTCATACACCATTACATTTCCCAAATGTTTACAATTATTCCATTACCAAAAATAGCGAAATGAAAATGTAAAAAATGGATTGAACAGGAGATATCGAAAGCAATGGGTTTCTTGAATAGTTTGGAGGGGGGACACCGACAAGGTGTTGGACAGCAGCCGCTGAAACGACAAATAAAGGCGGAAGAAAAGGAAGAGTCAAAGCAAAGGGAATATTTCCTTAGCCTTGTGCAGAGTGAAGCTAGACTCGGGCCTTCGCGGGGTACGTGAGCAAACGTGAGCCGGGAAGGGGCTTTCTGGGAAGTCCCCAATCTGCCCAGATCCAAAGACTGTCACCCAATATTTTGACGCTAAATATGTTAACAGTATAAGTTTCGCAGCACCTACATGCTACATCTTATATACCCTAGTATCGTTATATCAATGCACCACTGCACACATTCACTGGATTTCATTTCACATCATTTATTTTCACCAACAGTTTCGGAAACATTATAACAAACCAACTTGACTTACGATGCACTTTAAATTAATTTGTAACAAACTTTAAACTGATATAATAAATATAAATACTGTTATAAGTGGCCCATCCAAATCAAGCTGACCCCAACCAAACCGTGCTTTGAGATCCATGAACGCGACTGGAGGTTCGTAGACGGTAGGAGGCACCTAAACGAAATGAAAGGAAAACAATGTAATCGATGCCTAAATATTTACACCCCATTGCCCTCGATTTTTGTGGCCAAAGCCATTTATTAAGGTTTGTTAGCTCGAGGCGCTATTTGAGACGATGCATTATTCACGACCACAAATATTACACTGTGTGTGTGTGTGAGAGAGAGGAGGGGGTTGGGGTTGCGGACGCTAGCCTTGATAGGATGGGACTAAAACATAGCCGAACACTCACTCCTTGCTTTGCCTAGCGAATCCAGATCCCCCATCCTCCCCCCCCTTCCCTAACTATGTCCAGGTTGTTTGAACGTGGGCCACCTTTCAGGGCAAGAAGGGCATATCTCCGAGCCAAGTCTGGAGAGGCGACATTGCTTTTGTTGGCTGTACAAACACACTTATATGTATATATGCGTATATATATATATATATATATATTATATATATATATATATATATATATATTATGCATGTGTGTATATATGTATATACATACGTATGCACACACACACACACGCATACACACTACACATATATATATATATATATATATATATATATATATATATATATATATATATATATATATAATATATATGCATATATGTTTATGTATGTATATACGAATATATGTTTTATATCTTATATATATAGCACATATATATATATATATGCACACACACATACATTATATACATATATATATATATATATATATATATATATATATATATATATATATATATATATATATATATATATATATATATATATATATATATATATATATATCACATTATATATATATATATATATAACACAGTGAACTTTGTAAATACATAATGATATCTATAATTTCTCTTCGGTAATTTTATACATCAGTCCTTATTTACACCATGGAAAACCCTACGTCTCCCCGGGCGAAAGAAAGGAGTAGCCAGGTCTGCTTATCTCTTGCTTCCCATGACCCAGTGTTTTTGCCCAACGTCGCCAGGCACAATGTCGAAATAAGTATAGTAAGGTCATGCCACGTTTGTGTAGGTCTTATCTCTCGTGGGTCTGACTCAGCACATGTCATCATTCCCACCTGATGCGCGGTCGGGAGCACATCGTCTCCCTGACGTGCTCCTACTTCTGCGGATATTTGCGCCTCAGTGTCCGGCGGTATGAGGAAGGGAGAGTCAGACCGGTCTCGCGAGAGCCTGCGCTCCTAATGTGATCGGCTGCTATATCGACCTCAGTCAAATCAGATAATGCAGATTACTATAAGTAGACTAATAAAGGTAATTAAAAGTTGCGAACGCTTGTTAATGCCTGGGATGGCTTACTGAATTCCTAAGAACTTTCGTATTATACATCGTCAAAAAATCTATTTAAAGCGAATGAACTTCAGATCAGTTTTCCTTGTCGTGCAACTGGATCATTAAAATGCATGTAGCATTAAGCAATGTAATTTATAGTGACTGATAAACTAAAGCGAGACGTAGTAAATTTATTTCCTGTTCTTCGATTGATTGGTGAATAAATAGAATAGTCACTCCTCATTGCGCGGTAGTTTTCTATAGTAATTGGTCCGGTGGATCATATCTTGTTCACATCTTATTCGCCCCCCTCCCGAGCTACAGGTTCCCGAGTCCAGGAATACTGTTGAGTTGAGTTTGACTGACTGCAAGCTAATGGGGTAGGGAGAAAGGAAGTGTGGGGATATGACATGGATACAAGAGTGAGTATTGGTATTTCCAGAGAAGTAGCGAGATGAGGGCCAAGTCTCGATACTTACTTGTACTTAGGAAGATCAAAATTAACTCGAACAACTTACCTCGAACCTATGAATGTACACTCCAGTCAACAAGTTACATACATAATGCATAATAAAGTCCAGACATTATTTCGACACGAAGATACAAACACGACAAACACAAAGGGCGCGCGGGCATAAATTATTTTTCACACACGAATACTCACACTGTACGAATCAAGGAAAGGTATATGGAAAAAGAATAAAATCCAGCAACGGATACGACCACTGCACAGAAATATACTAGAGAAAAGCCCGCTGCACGTGGCTGTATTCCCCTGCGACGAGCTAGTGCCCGCCTCAACATCTGTGAACCCTGAAATTTCTAGTCCTCAGCCTTGCGCGCGCATGGGCGTACATAGCCTTACCTGCATCCACGTACCTGTGTACAAATAACACATATTAAGGATATAAATACATATTTGATTTTGAAGAGAAGAAAAAACAATAAAAATATATTTAAACATTATTCCTAATACCAATTGTTGACAATCCATGCGGCACTTACGTAAGCACTTGTTTACATCTTTTTACCCGTTGAACGTTATCAATAATTCAGTAACTCCAGGAAAATCAATGTTAATAAGAGTGTATCGCTTATGCACAACATGTAGTAATATCAAGATTTAGATATATCTGTATATTCTTGTGTTGCATATTTATACGATGAGAATAAACATGTGATGATAATGGAGATAATTGCAATAATGATACTGATACTGATAATGGTAATACTAGAAATAATAATGTTAATGATGATGATAATTATGATAATAGTAATTATAATGCTTCTGCCGCTGCTGCCGATAATAATGATAATGCCGCTGCTAATGATGATGGTGAAAGTGATCATGATGGTGATGATGATAATTGTGATAATAATACTGATAATGATAATGGTAAAAGCAATATTGATAATAATAAGGATATTAATAATAATAATGATGATGATGCTGATAATGATAATGATATTGATAAAGGTACTGATAAAGATAACGATAATGATAATGATGGTAATAATGATGATGAAAATGATGACGATGAAAATTAAGATGATGATGAATTGCAATAATAATACTAATGATAATGATAATTGTAATAATAGTAATAATACTAATGATAATAATAATCATAATAATAATAATGGTAATGATAATGATGAAGATGAAAATGATAATGATAATAGTAATAATAGCAATGATGATAATGATAATAATAGCAATGATAATAATGATAATGATAATGATACTAATAGCAATGATAATAATGATAATGATAATAATAATGATAATAGCAATGATAATAATGATAATGATAATAATAATGATAATAATGATAATAATGATAATGATAATAATAATGATAATAATTAAAATGATAATGGTATTATTAATAATAATAATGATAATGATAATGACAGCAAGGATGATGATGATTATAGTTAAAATGATAATGGTATTATTAATAATAATAGTAATGATAATGATAATAACAGCAATGATGATAATAATGACAATGTAATAATTACAATATAATACCTTTCAATAACAGTAGTAACAAGCACGATAAACAATAATCAAAAACCCTGATAGAAATAATTGATTAACATGACAGCATTAATAATCAGACCTTAGTGTGCAGTATCAAAAGCAGGCATAATGGAAGTAATAACACTCATAATGATGTAAGTACAATAATCAGTATGTACAGTGCCCATAGATATATAAGGCACATCCTATTTATATCCGGTCTTTCCTGACGAGGTACCTGGCCGTGTCTATGGCAACAATTAAGATCTATTTCAGTGATATAAGACCTTTCAGAATGAACCTGATGGGATTATGCAGAAAGTCAATGACTTTATTAGGGGAAACAGAAAGGTGTATTTGAGGAGCAGTGGCTGCATGTGTAGTAATGTTTGTCTCACATTTTAGATAGGGGGTAGGGGAGGGAGAGGGAAAGGGAAACAGAAAATAATGAAAGGGATGGATAAGAGAGGGGTGAGTAAGAGGGAGAGGGAGAGTGAGAGTGCTAGACAGACAGGTAAAGAGATATATTAGAGTGGCCTCTGGTTTAGTTCACAGAAGAATCACTATAGCATCTGCCAAGTTCAGAGGAAATCTCAGTATCTGTTGATCTTCGTTTCGGAAGAGACACTTCGACGGTAGCTGTAATCCGATGCTTTACTGTCTTTCCATTGCTGTACGGCCTTCACAGAGATAGCTTAATAGATCAAAATAGATAGAGAGAGAAGAGCGAAGAACAGGTGTAGGAAGCAGCAGACAAAGAGAGGGATACATGAGAAAAAAAGCGAGAAAGAAAGCGAAAAAGGGCTAATTAACAGCACATGAAATATTATTGGCACTTCATCAATATATTTGACGCTGCGCAACTAAATAAAAGATGACTGAACACCTACCACGACGGGCGAGGTTCGTGGTTGGCCGTGTGCACAGAATCTTGTCCTTAACAAACTGTCTCGCGGTAGATGTGGTTGTTATACTTAATCGTCCCTTATACTACGCCTTATCTCAGTGCAGTGTTCAGAACAATGAGTCTCGAGGGTCCCTTTCAACTGATAAGGAAATGATAAAAAAACAATATGCTGAGTTACCAGATGCATCCATTTTCCCATATATTCCTGCAATATATAAGAAATGTTCACTAAGTAATAAAAAAGAAAAAATGTCGATGGGCCAGCGTGATCAGAGAGAGATAACTGGTTCATGCCTATTTAATTTCAAGAAAATGTAACGTGATCAAATTATCTGGAAACCTAAAGAGTAAACAGTAAACCGTCCTGTGGTAACAATGGTATTAACCTCACTGTAGGCCGAAACACGTATATTTTTTTTATCACCATAATTTTTTGTGTTATTAAAGGTCCCAATTTTCACACAATACCAGGCATATTGGAGCAGAAACCTTATCAAATATATCTAGATGAAGATAAAAACATCATCAACAACAAAAATAATTTTCATAGCTGGATATGTCTTCCTCGCTTCATTTATCTTTGTTTTTTTCTGCGTTCGTTATACAAGTATAAAATATCCCTGTTTGTGAGATTGTATTTTTTTCTTGTTTTTTATTTTTTTTTACATTACTTTGAAAACTCAAGGCAAAAAAAAAAAAAAAAAAAAATGCTTAATCAATAAAAACACGCATATTTGCAAAAGTTGGATTTGTTCGCCGAAAAGGAGATTAACGTTTATGTTTGAAAAAAGCCGCGTCCGCCATGACAATTTATCACTCATTTATTCGGAGAAGTTGATAAGCTATCTTTGCCTTCACAAAAGACTGACAAGCAGCCTGTCGAAGCTAAACGGAAATATAAATTATTATAGTTTTAATTCGCGCAGCAGACTGGAAGAATGTGTTTATGAAGAAAGTTATTTTATTAAGGTTTGCAGATATCGAATTTGTATAAAAAATTTCCATCATGTTTATGCCAGCCACACGTAGACAACACCAGACACACGCACACTTACACACACACACACACACCACACACACCACACCACACACACACCACACACACACACCACACCACACAGCTCACAACACACCAATCATTACACACACACAGTTATTTAGCTATTTATATATATATTTTATTTTCACATATATACTAATATATATATACATATACTAACAGAGTATGTATTATTATATATATAATATATTATATATTATATATATATACGCATATATATATATATATATATATCTATATACTACTATATACTATTATATGTATTACTATACTATAGCTATATACCAGATAATTAAGAATATAGATAGTAATATATATATACTAGAAAAGGACAAAAGAGGTTGCGTGTCCCATGAATAGCGCAACTACCAATGAATATATTAAGCCGCTTGGGCTAATGAGCTGTATTTGGTAATGGAATAATTTTAATACTTGTATATGTTATCATATACATATATACACATGCGCAGCAAATATATGCATATATTATGTATGTAACATTTGGTATAATATGTAAATAGATAAATATTAAATATATATATTATATAAATATTATATATATATATATATATATATATCTATATAAATATATATATATATATATATATATATATATATATATATATATATAATACTGTGTGTGTGTGTGTGTGTGTGTGTGTGTGTGTGTGTGTGTGTGTGTGTGTGTGTGTGGTGTGTGTGTGTGTGTGTGTGTGTCTGTGTGTGTGTGTGTGTGTGTGTGTGAGTGTCGTGTGTGTGTGTCTGTGTGTGTGTGTGTGAGAGAGTGTGTGAGCGTGTGTGTCTGTGTGTGTGAAATATAGAAATTACGAAACCCATTGCCACATTATGAAATGTGACAACATTTGCATTTCGTTCAGAGAAACGATAATTAGTTCCCCACAGAATTCTCACTTTCCTGAAACCATAACCTTTTTTTTTTTGTTAATATCAGCTGTGCGTGTCTCCTCATCTCCTCCCTACTAATCCTCCACTAATAGGGGTACTTCAGGGTGCCTCTCCCCAGTATAAGGCTGTGGCCAAGGGTCTTTTAAGGTCCTTTTGCAACTGTAATTTGACACGTACGTACAGGCTCGCGCATTCAAAGCCCTATTAAAAAAACTGTAGACTCATACCGCAAAGAGATAATGAAATGTACACTTGCCTTAGAATGTGCACTTGTCTAGAGTGTATACTTGCCTAGAATGTACACTTATCTAGAGTTTACACTTGTCTAGAACCCTAATTTGCGTGCGTATACCTAAAACGAAAATCCAGTTTTATGGTGTCTCATCTAATCCCCATTAGACGCTAACGAAGCTCTGCTTGTGCGTGGACAAGAGTGTGCATTTCTGCAAACCCATGTATCCATGCATACTTCATATTTCGAGGATAAATTGTTTTAAGGGATAACATCTTTTTTGTGAATATTCACTCTCCAAATACTAAGGAATGGGTTTGTGACTTGTGAACCGAAAGTTACCACGGTAATCAATCAAAAGTGCTATAATATTTTTTTCCTGTCTCGATAAAAAAATGATTATAAACCTAAACACCACATAGATATAGAATAGTAAGAATATTTTCTGCGCAATCTGCTAAAGAGCAAAGAAGACCTAGTGTGTGTGTAATATACTATATATATATATATATATATAATAGATATATAGAGTGACATATATAATGTAACTATTCTATATAATAAAGTTATTTATATATATATATACTATTATATCTTCTCATCTATCTATCTATCTATCTATCTATCTATCTATCTAACTCT